TGCCTATGGTGTCATTTTTGCCACCATTCTATCAACTGATCATGTTGATCTATTATGGTTTTGGTGAGTTGCTCTATCGGAATAGTAATCGCCTGTAAATACTTGTCTTTTATTGGTGGCTGAAGGGGTCTATTTATAGCCCTTTCGATCAGGTTGTCTAGAGAGATTTTATAGGGTGGAAACTCTTATTCTCGTATATCTCCAGAATATCTTCAGTTGATGTGGGGGTCTACAGTGTGATGCTCAAGTATGACCCGGATTCGGCGGGCGATCGTGTGTTTACTGTGGCTGATGATCGATACAGATGTGCATAAATCCGTGCAGATTATTGTCAGTGGTTAGCACGTGTCAACAACTACCCCATCCTACGCCAATTTTAACCTAAAATGTTGTTGTCGTATAGTGTCAATCAAGATCGTATTCACTCGGGTCGCAGTACCATAGCCTACTTTCCACGTTGTTGTTAGCTAGCCAATCGGTTTAAGGGTTTTTGTTGGAGGATATGAGCGAACTACTAGTTAAGAGAGTAAATAAAGATTAAAAAAAGCAACTTCGGGGAACTATCCCTCATCCTATCCTAGGACTACTATGCAATATCTAGATAATTAGGGTTCATCGAATGTGGCGAGTGAGCTCTTTTCCATGGGATTTCATGGTTATCCACACACCTCTGAGTACGCCTCCCCTAAACCCATGTAAAGTTACCTCGATCTAGGCTATCGTATATGGTACATTAAGCTCATAGCTCCTTTCAATGAGTACTACCCACCGTCCACACTAAGGTTTCATCCCGGGTTCTATCTAGGAAGGCATTCCTATGGCAATGATTCGGTCGGGGACAAGCAAACGCATAAGTGTGGGGGAGTTTGATAACACCAAACTTGGTGTTATTTACCCTACATATCTAGGTGTGTCTTGTGCCAATTCATGTGTTTAAATGCTTGAATATCGTCAAATACGTCCCTATTGCGTTCATATTTGATTTCGATGTGATTTTAGGGTGTATTAGTTTATATGTGCGAATTAGGTACAAAACAAGGTTACAAGTGTAGAAAAGGGGCAGGAATTGAAGATCGTGGCCTAGAAGCCGAAGATCACGTTCGGAGATCACAAGCCACGAAGGCCAGCTGAAGATCGAGGCCCAGAAGCCATAGATCGCGACAACAATCTTGGAGGCCTAGGGTGCGAACTTCGCGTGGAAGGAGCCTTGGAGAAGCATAGAGTTTCCCTAGTCGCGTCACTGTCAATGTTCATCTTGCCTGCGAGGAAGATCGCGGCCTCGGCTAGTGGATCGTGACCGCGAAGTCAGCTCGCGATCTCCCCCTTAACAAAGGCCTCGAAGACCGCGTTTTGAGATCACGGCCCAAAGACCAAAGATCCAGCGCGCGATCTCCTTACCTCCGCCGCGAACTTTCCCGAGTCCAGAAGGCCTGTAAATACAAGACTCCTTTCCCCTTTTGAAGAGAGCTGATTTTGAGAGAAATTTTCTGGTTCTAAAGAGAGAAGAGAGAGAAGCTGAAGGAAGGAGAAGAGAAGGAGAAGGAGGAACTAGGAGCAAGAATGCATCTTATTCAACCCCAAGTCTTCTTCTATTTCTACCATGTATCTTCTTCCCTTCTTTATGGAGTAGTCCTCTAAGGCCCTAGGGGTTCTAAACCCCCAAACCCTAGTTTTAGGGTTTATTGTGTGTATATATGGATATTTAGGGTTTGAATGAATGAATTTGATATTTTAGGATATTTTATGTATTCTTAACGAGATACAAAAACATTATCACCTCTTCCCAAATCATTTGTCGATATTTTGCAAAATTATTATTAATGGGATGTCCTCAATTTTCAACGTAAATCATATAACATTAACAATGACCAATAATTCAATATTTAATTTTTTTTACAATTATTAACAATGTAACTTGACGTTATCAACGTTTATGCAAAGTATCATTAACGATATACAGTCATCATTATTTACGTTTCCTATAAAATTTTAGGATATCTACGAAATCATTTATTAACAATATCTCATCATTTATCAATATTTATGCCAGGTAAAATAAACATATCGATGTATTATTAACGAAATACAAAAACATTATCACCTATTTTCAAAACATCTGTTGGTTGTTTACAAAATTATTATTATTGGGATCTCATAGTTTTTCAACGTAAATCATATAACATTAACAGTGACCAATAATTCAATCATTAAATATTTTGTTGATAATTATTAACTGTGTAACATGACATTATCAACGTTTACTCAAAGTTCCATTAAAAAAATAAATTCATCATTATTAACATTTCCAATAAAATTTTAGGATATTTAAGAAATCATTTATTAACAATACCTCATCATTTTTCAACATAAAACATAGAACGTTAACAACAGTGGCAGATCTAGGGTAGGGCCAACCCGGGTCACGGCCCAGCCCTCCTCTAAATCCAGAGCTAGTATAGTGTTATAAAATTTTCGATTTAGGTATTTGGCCCAATGCTATTTAAAATTCGGTCCAATTTTATTTGATAATAGGATTTTCTGTAACTAGGAAAATAGTTCAAATGAGCATATTTCAAACCACTAATCTAATTTAGACTAAAAATTCTAGCCATTAATAATTTTTATTTGAAAAAAAGACGTTAAAACCTAAAAGTCTTTCATTGAAATAAAAAAAAAAACTCTAAATGAAAGCTAACCCTTCTCTGCAAACCTCAAAAAAATTCCCCAATACCCCCTAAAACAAAATAAGAACGAGGAGTCGAACAAGCCCGAAATGGATTCTTCCGCCAGTCCACCAAGCGCTGGTTTTCTTTCCAGCCTTTTGATTAAGAAAATATTTACAAACTTACTGAGTCAGGATTTTAGATTGCCTTGGTTGAGTGGTGCATTAGATTCTATTATTTATGGTTTTGCTAAATTACAATACCTTCTTGTACAATTATCATTGTAATGAAAACTATATTTATTATATATTTTTATTTATGATATATAATATTTTATTTAAATATCGCCTAGTGCTTTACTATGTTCTGGATTCGCTGCTAAACGCATAAATAGCGATGGATTAATGGATATGGCCGACGTTTTTTAGCTAGATCAAACTAGTTGGCTGGCGTGGTTAATTTCCCATTTTATTAATGATGACATTAATTGTAAAATTTTATTCCATTCTTGTCCTTTTAGATAGTTAGCTTGTAAGGGTTTAAGATTCTCCTTAAGTAATAGGACTCAAAGATCGGGTCTGATCCGGTATTTATTGGCTAGTTATTCTGATCTTGATCATGTTAGATAGGTTGACTCAAGGAGATATATGAAATGTTATATATTCACTATTGGAGGTTCTTTGGTTAGTTGGAAGGCGACTTTGCAGTCTACATTTAAGCAAAGTACATGGCAATGACGGAACCTATTAGAAAGGGAATATGGTTGAAAGATCCGGTTAATGATATGGGTTTATATCATGATAAAGTTGTGGTTTATTGTGACAGTCTGAATGCAAAGTGCTTGGCAAGGGATAAGTTCATCATGAGAGAACTAATTAAGCACATATACGTAAGGTATACTTTCCAGGAAACATAGAAGAGGACTAAAATGATGAAGAAAGTGAGTAGTACTGCTGATATGTTCACGAAGTCGGTTCAACATGACAAGTTCGAACACTACATGGAATTGTTGAATGTTTTGAGTTGTTGATCCCCTTAGGGGAATTTTGAGTTGGGAGATAGTCTGAGTACATTTAGTATCTTGAGGAAGAATTCAAGTGAAAGTAGAGACTTGTTACTATGACTTGAAGGTAGATTATTTTTCGTCGAATCGATACACATTTGTTGTTCTGTTTTGGTTATGGTTTGTAATCTTTTCATTTCCACCTAGGATTAGAGTTAGGCCATCTGGAAAATGTGTTATATATATCTTATCATCACTGTAATCTGTGTCTACTCAAATATAATGAAACTGATCTCTCCTGCTCGTGGATTAACTAACACCCCTCGTAAATATGTGTGCTCTTTTCACAAAAAAAAAATGTTCCTTACTTTTTTACATTATCGATTTTCCACTCCGTGAAATGTGCATTTGTATATTGATAACGAAATTTAACTATTGTTAAAAAGAACAATGCTTTTGGTTTTGAGTTTGCAAATTTTAGCTTGAATTTCCGAGTCGCTTAATCTATCGTCATTAACGTCTTCCTTAATTAAATTTGGTTGAAATGGACTAGAGGTGGCAATCCACAAATCCAATCCAATACAACATCTACTTAATTATCCAACTAATCCAATTCAAATCCAATTGAATTGGTAAATTCATAAATCGAATTCATGTATCCCGCTGGCAAATTAGAGTTTACTGCGTAGATCCAAGGATGGCAAAGCTCATGAATAAAGTAGAGAATGATATAAATGGATCACGTCAAGTGTAAAACAGGCAGGAAATAGCGGGGGAGTTACTTATAACGCCAGGCAGGAAGAGAGAGAGAGAGAGGCGCCATAGCTAGCTAGCTAGTTGGCTTTTTTTTTTTTTGGTATATATATGTCACCAAGAATAGGTTGACACAGCTTGCTGATGAGTGATGAGGTTATAACAAAGTGTGCGTGGAGAGCAGTTACCAAAGCCTGCCTTCCGCCCCCTGTTTTTTTCTCAAGCTTCCATTAAAAGCACTCTCTCGCTCTCCGGCCACCCACCACTATTGTGTCCATTTCTGGTCATTTATTACTGACCGACTGACTCCTTTCTCTACTCCTCTTCTCCTCTCTTTGATTTCATCGCCCCTTTCTTTCAACCCTCTCATAATTGCTACCTAGTTTATTCACTCACTCTCATTGCTTCCGTTTTCCGCCCACCTTGCTGCTTCTGCTTGCTTGTAAAGAAGAGAAGCCAAGAAGAGAGACGATCATATGGTGGGTGCAATCAAAAACTTTCTTGATGATTTTCTACCACATACATACACACACACATGCATATAGAAATTAAAGAGCGGAAAACTTTCTTGTTGGTTGCAGGCGGAAATGGAAGCTGGAAGGGAAGAAGAGAAGTACGTGGACTGGAGAGGGCACACGGCCAATCCTAAGAAGCACGGGGGGGTTTCCGCCGCCGCCTTCACCTGTGGTATGGTATCTATCTCTCTCTTTCTAAGTTAGATAATTGTAGGTCTTTATTCTTGATATATATCTGTTTTGTCTGATTTGTAATAACTGCTTGTTTTGCTTACGAATTATGATTCATTGGCTTCCAACTCTTCAAGCAACTAGGTAATGCGAGGAGTCGGGTTGGATTTTGCCAAACCCAAATTCATGGATTTATCCGTGAAAAAAATCAGGGGTCAAATCCACTGGGTTTGAAAAACTCAAACCCAACCCAACCCGCTGAGTATCTGTGGATTCATGGGTACCCACGGGTTTTTGTCGTAAAAAATTTACAATAACAAGTTCTTATCAAAATTAAAGTCAAATATTGATCTTTCGATACAAATTATCCATATATATAAAACACCATTCTAGAAAATTCAAGCAAATCACAAATTAACTATACAAACTGTTCAACACCAATCTAGAAAAACTCAAGAAAATTGAAGCAGATCACAAATTATACGTAAATAACACGATTAATTGAAAGCTTCTTCCTCCTTGTCAATTAAGTTTCTTCACCCTCCACTCGATAACATCAACTTCATTCTACACAATTAGAAAGAAAAAAAAATTTAGACATGTCTCCACAAACATAAATAAAATTAGTTGTTCAGAATATTAAATATACCGAGAAAATTAACTCTATGGGTGTGGTGCGGGTACCCATGAGGCGTTTTTACCTAAACCCAAAATCCATTAACGCGTATTTTACCCGCGCTGACCGAATTGGGCCTGATGAATACCCTTGGAGTTCGAGTTTTGTTGTCATCCCTAGCTGTAGGTGCTGCTGGCTTCAAGCTCTCTAAATCCCTTCTTTTTCTTCTTTCTAAACAACGTTAGTAGGTTACTTAATTAAGTGCTCATTTATTAACTCATGTAAATGTGCGTTTTGGCGTGGAACTCGGCGTGTGAATAGTTGTGGAGGCGCTGGAGAACATGGTGTTCCTGTCCAACGCCACGAATTTCGTGTCGTATTTCACAAAGTCAATGCACTACTCCACCGCCCACGCCGCCAACATGGTCACCAATTTCATGGCCACCTCCTTCCTCCTCACCGTCGTCGGCGGCTTCGTCACCGACTCTTTCCTCAACAGGTTCTGGACCTTCATCGCTTCCTGCACCACCGAACTCCTGGTAATTAATTAATAATTCTATTACTGTTTGCTACATCAATAATTAATTAATTAATGGAGGCCGGCTGTGGCGGCTCACGTGCAGGGAATCATGCTGCTGACCATCCAAGCCGAGCAGAGCCGGCTCCAGCCGCCGCCAAACGAAACTCCCTCGGCTTCTCAGGCGGCCATCCTGTACGGCGGGCTGTACGCGATTGCGGTGGGCTTCGGCGGGATCAAGGCTTCCCTGCCGGCCCACGGCGCTGACCAGCTGGACCATGGGAACCAGGCCCGTATCTCTGCCTTCTTCAACTGGTTCTTCTTTTCGCTCTGCATTGGGGGCCTGGTGGCGTCGACTTTCATGATATGGGTCCAGGAGAATCTGGGCTGGAAGTGGGGGTTGAGGCTGTCGCTTATTGCTTTGAGCTCCGCGCTCTGCGTTTTCGGAAGTGGGTTCCCCATCTATCGGTTCAGACGGCCCACCGGAAGCCCAATAACAAGAATCCTCAAGGTATACACTTGTTTTTGTTTGTCTAAGCATTTTGGTTTTAAATCATTTGTCTTCGATACTTCATGCCCATCCATATGCTCTGCCTTAAAAAAGATATCGTGATGCGTTGCCGGTGCAAGCATCGTATACGTTGAGAATCGGCCTAGATCTTTGAAGGGATTGAGATAAAGAACTTAGAGGAAAGAGACATTATTTTTCTGAATACTTGTTATTGATTGACTGATTATATATAGCAAAGAAGTAACCCTAAAACATATACGAACCCTAGCCGAACACCAAAACCCACGGCCACAATTACTTGGCCCTTACTCCACGGAATCCTTATAATAATGATGAAAATAATATTCTAGTGCTGCCGAATTAATGAATGCATCATATCACATCTAACGCATCGTTACTATATTGGTAAACTGAATCTACTAATCAATTGATCGAGTTCTCCGTCGATCTACAAGTAAGGTTTTGTTTGAATTTTCGACCAAGTCAACCTAGCGTACCTATTTAGTTGTAGTGATTCACACATCGTTATATCATTTTTTTTTTTTTTGTGTGTAATATATATGCCCTGCATTGTCTAAACTTCTACTTCAATAGTATTTTTTTTTTGCAAATGCATATAAGGTTGTACATTCTGTGATGTGACAAACCCTGATTATTCGAATCTAGCTAGTGATCATGTGTCTGATTTTAAACACATATTTTTGCCTTTCCTTGCCATATTGCTAGTTGTGGCATTTCTTGAAACTTTACTTCGATACAAGAAGGAAAATTTTTGCCATACCGTATTAGAATTTAGTTCCAACACTTGATATATTGGTCGAGTCATAATCAATCTCTCAATCTCGCTCAACTTTCGTAGGTCTTGTGTTCAGCGGTTCGTAATTGGAGAGCCTCCCATGTAGTTGCCAACGATGAAGCTGCCGGAGACATGAGCAAAAAGTTCAGGCAAGTCCGTACGCATAACCCCACATTTTATATTAACTTGTAGGGTTAATACCTTAGTTTGGCCTGAATTATACACATACTTTCTACTTTGGTCCGTGATATTGGAAATTGCTATTCTGGCCTGAACTATGTAGCAAACTTCCTCATTTGGCCGGGAGGCGGGTTTGACCGTTAAATTAGACGGTCAAACTTGTTGACCGTTAGTCAATGTCCACCTCACCTGCCACGTCAGCTTTGAGGACATAAAAATATTTTTTTTTATTTTTGAATTTTCTTTTCTTGTCCTCAAAGCTGACGTGGCAGGTGAGGTGGATATTGACTAACGGTCAACAGGTTTTACCGTCTAATTTGATGGTCAAACCCGCCTCCGGGCCAAATGAGGAAGTTTGCTACATAGTTCTGACCAGATAGCAATTTCCAATATCACGGGCCAAAGTAGAAAGTATGTGTATAATTCAGGCCAAACTAAGGTATTAATACGACCATACCATATCATCAATGTCTAGCATATTTCATAATTCTCATAATCCTAATTACTCGAATAATCATACCAGGTTCCTCGACAAAGCGGCCGTTGATGGCACCGTAACCAGCCCGGAGGTGGAGGAAACAAGGTCCTTTCTCCGGCTGCTCCCAATCTTCGGCAGCACAATCATGATGAGCTGCTGCCTCGCCCAGCTCCAGACATTCTCCGTGGAGCAAGGAAGCGTCATGGACAGGAAACTCCGCGGCGGATTCCTAATCCCGACGCAGTCGCTGTCGGCTTTCTCTCTCGTCGTCATACTGTCGTCCATCCCGTTCTACGAGTACGTCATCAAGTCGTCTCGAGCCACGGCGTGGCTCGAGATCTACCGCCCGCTCAAGCGGATAGGCCTGGGCCTGGCCCTCGCCTCGGCCTCGATGGCTGTGGCTGCAGCCGTCGAGGTCGAAAGGAGGCGATCGGCGGCCGCGGTCGACGACGACTCGACGAGGAGGCTGTCGGTTTTTTGGCTCAGCTGGCAGTTTCTATTCCTAGGGGTGTCGGATATGTTGACTCTTGGAGGGATGCTTGAGTTCTTCTACTCACAGGCGCCAAACAGCATGAGGAGCATGTGTACGGCATTGGCTTGGGCCTCTACTTCGATGGGCTTTTTCCTCAGCTCGCTTCTTGTGACGCTAACGAACAAGATCTCGGGCCGGTTTGGGGACGAGTGGCTGGGTGGGCACGACCTGAACCAGAACCGGTTGGACCTGTTTTATGCGGTTCTTTGTGTTTTGAACTCGGTGAACCTGGTTAACTATGTGTTTTGGGCTAAGAGGTACTAGGTAGCTTAGTTAGTTAGTTGGATTCTCTTAAGGGAAAAAAAGGAAGATGGTTGAGGATCAACAGATTGTGTGACATGCTTGTCTATATGGATGTCAAAATGTAAAAAAAGGAAGATGGTTGAGGATCAACAGATTGTGTGACATGCTTGTCTATATGGATGTCAAAATGTAATTTTGAATTTTTCTTCCCGACTTTATAGCAGTTTGGAGAATCTTGGAGAAATCTATACAAGTAAGTTGTAAACTTGTAATTGGAATAAATCCTTGAAATGATTTGAGGTGGAACATTGCTTGGTGTATGTTGGATGAGTGAGAGCATGGGAGGAGCTACAACAGACCTTCAGGAGTTCTCGTCCTCGTGAGAATTTTGGAACTTATGTATAAATGATTGTATGTCTTCGTATAAACTAAAATGAATATATATGGCATGTTAGGGTCAACTTATGATCTGACAGGAGGATGTGTGTGCGAATAGAAATAAATGAAATGCATTGTCCTCCCAAATTCACGCTAAATTATATTTGTGGAACATACTCATAACCAAAATTCATGATCGGTACATGCATATATATTAATCTCAATGCACCTTCAAACAACTCATAATATCAATTGTAGTAAAATGTTGATCTTTCGTTGAGTGCCAATCAAGGTGAAACATTAGAAAAAGCAGAGTAGCACACATCAAAATGTACTCGATGCATTCCGCGACCCTAACGTACAAAAACTATATATTAGATCCTTAACATATAAACCCAAAAAAAGTGGTGCATATACCCGATGTTAATCAACCCAAAATCATATTTGCCCAAATATGTGGGCAAGGTAAGCCAATGTCCCAACCAACGGTGCATTGATATAAGTTGCTGGCTCGGAATGGTCATAATCATTCCTCTGATCCGGGAACCTATCGCCCTGATCCGGCCCGCCCACAACCGCACCCACCAACACGTTCGGGTTGGGCGACTGAGAATACATCATCTGGAATCCGGAAGAGCACGGAATCCGACCCGGGTGAACCCGAACCGATGGCAAAGACGAACCTCTGTGGTGTATCCTTCGTGGGTACTTCTTCCCATACCCAACCATGTAAGACATGTTGAGAGGATTCTCTCCAAGCAAATAATCCACCTGTCTCTTCGCAATTGATCTCAGCTTTCCGGCCCGAATCAGGGTCCCACCACACTCCACCGACTTGCCCGAAAGGGCCAAGTACTTGGCATACGTTAGTAGCAAGAATGAAGTCGATGTCACATATTGCAAATTGTACTCTTTCAATTTGAACAGAAGCCCTCCCGGAGTGTACTGGGAGGAATAGGAAGGCACGCCGGGTATAATTGAGCAAATGAAGTTGTCCGAGTGGTCCTTGAAGTCCTCGAAGTCGGAAATTTTGTTGAGGAGGAAGGAGCGGGAGAGGAGGATTCGGGCGCCCGCGTGTTTGTTGTCCCAGCCAAAGATGTTGTCGTATTCATCGGCTCCTAGGTTGCGCGCGTTGGATTTAACATAGCTGAGGTAGGAGGGAAGTTTTGTGGCCTTGTGGAGCCAACCTGCGGCCCACAGCAGTTCGTCCTGATAACCCGAGAAGGAGCAGTAGAAGGGGCAAACTACGTTCCGTAGCCCGCCGCTACTGTAGGATCCACGGTACGTGTCGGCGAAATGGAACACTCTCATTGCTCTGCTCAATAGGAGTTTGGAGTAAGAAGGATTGCTCTTTCTGAACACCATGGACGCCGCCGCGAGGGCCGCTGCTGTTTCGCCCGCGACTTCGGAGCCAGGGGTGTTCCTGTCGATTTTGTAGACCGTTCGGGTCGTGTCCATGTCCTCCGGTCTTTCCCAACACGCATGGTCGCGGTTGGCATCTCCGACCTAGTGAGAAGCAACATGATCGGTTAGAAGGGTTTGAAGATGTGATTGTTGGTCTTGTTTACTTATGTGGCTATTATAAGTTCCCTTGATGACAAAAACATAAGTCCTTTTCTTAGTGAATTAGAACCCAAATGTCGCTTCATAAAATTCTCCAATCTTGTTACAAAAGAAAACAAGCATACTGGTTACTAGCTCACATTTTCTATTAGGGCAGAGTCACTTTCATTATAGAACACAGTTGCACGCAAGATTCACTTCTACTTCGTCGGTTAGTCATCCGCTTTGCAAGCAGAAGAACATATTTGTTTGCTAGAAATAAAAATAAATGACAATAACTAAACATACTTGAACTGAACACAGTGTCCATGAAACCGTACCGTACCGACGGTTCAACCACGTAATACCAGTATCGGAGGTCAAACCGATAGGCAGTATTTAATGGTATAACGGTTGAACTACAGTTAAATCACGATTTTACCATAAAATACCCTAACACTGACTTTTCCAATACGCTCTTCGGTACGGTTTCATGGAACAGTTGAACAGAAAGTCCACGATGTGATTAGAAAAACACAAGACAACACCGACCTGGACGTAAATGGTATCGGGATGTGCAGTGGCTTTGAGCAAGTAATCTGTCGCCCAACGAATCGCCTGTTTGGCGTGGGGCAATTCCCCCTTCATCATCCCGCCGAACTCGATCACGCTCCAAGACAGCATCGTGGTGGTGAAAGCCATCGGGAAACCGAACTTCACATTGTCCCCTGCGTCGTAATACCCTCCGACGAGGTTCACGTTGGCAGCCGATCCGTCGGACAAGCCGGAGTTTCCCCTCCACTTCATCCTCTGGTTGCGGGGCAGCTTCCCCGACCTCTGCCCTTCAAAGAAGAGGATCGACTTGGTCAGGGCGTCCTTGTAATTGTGGCTGGAAACGCGGTGGTGGTTGTGAATTCTCTTGTTGGGATGGTGGGTGGGAGCGCCATAGGAGGTGGAACATACGAGGAGAAGGGTGATGATGAGGGTTGATGATAAAACAGGGGAGAAACCAGAGGAGCCCATTGTTGTTATGCCCTGTTTTCCCCTGTTCTTCTTCTTTGGGAAGAAAAGCAGGGGAAATCGTTAAGAACTGAAAGGAACTTGGAGTGGGTCACGAATGGGAAGTAGAGGGTTGTGGAGGGCGATGATATAGGTAGATGGTATATGTTCTTGATTTTGGATGGTATTGGTGTGAACAATGCCGGATAGAAATTCGTCTCATTTGATTGTGTTTGCCAGAGTACGTGAAACAGAAAACGGTATAGAGTTTTTGTTTCTTTTTGAGTGACGTTCTGGAGTGGGAACAGCGACGATGGACGAGTTTGGGAATCCAATCCAACTCCTGAAGCGGATAGAAGATGTCGCGCGGTCATTGGTTTTCCATTGTTTCCAAGCGGGTGCTGCTTTCTGGACGCTGTTGTTGGATTGGAGAGGACGAGGAAGGCAAGAGCCGAGAGCAGTTTCACTTTCAATGTTCAGATTGTCTCTAGAAAATATTGTTGTCTTTCGGATGAATACCAAATTCCAAATCGATCATTCCATCCAATTCCATCCAAAAATACTTTATTTCCGTCGAGTCAGCATGCCATGTCCTTTAAGATATCAATAAAATAATCAATGAACAAACCTTCATATTGTGTTACGAGCGCTCTTAAAAAATTATGCAAAATAAAAAAAAAAACATTTTGCGACGTTCGAATTGCGGAGCACAAAGTTATGATCCTCTAAAGTTTGACAAAATCGAAAACTTGCTTGTTTACGTTTTCTCGGAAGATAGCCATCCAAAAATTTCTCGTTTGGAAAAATATTGCTCTTTTGGTAGGAATTCCCTATATATAAAAAAAAATTACGTGCCTTGGCCCCGAGAAAACGTCATTTGTTACCCCTAAATAAGCAATTTTTCGATTTTGTCAAACTTTAGAGGATCATAACTTTGTGCTCCGCAATCCGAACGTCGCAAAGTTTTTTTTTTATTTTGCATAATGTTTTGAGTACTACAACATTTACTAGGAATAAATTTTCAAAATAGTAATATTTTTAAGTATAAGGGGTTTTGGAGTAACTTTATCTTTAATTTTCACATTTTCACATATATTGTGAAAATATTTCTATTATAAAAGTTGTAGTCCTCGAAAAGTTATGCGAAATGAAAAGAAAGTTTGCTACGATCGAATAACCGAGCACAAAGTTAAGGTTGTTGGAAATTTCGAAGGAGTGACGAGCCCCACATGGTTCGAGACTTATATCATCGATCTACGACTAGATCAAAAGAAAAGATCAGCATTTTCCTTTCGCGGATAATTAAAATGCGAGCAACTTCGCACCTTCCCCCCTCGGTTCACGTCAAAGCCCGGAGAAAGCCCGCTTGGCTTTCGATAAGCATGTTTATGTAATTCTTGATTCTTCCTAAGCGAAGAAGACAGTAAAGGATATTCAACAAAGCAGGCCTTACTATCTTACCTAGCCATGATCACTTTTACCACCCCTGGGCCATACCTCGTGTTTCCTCCCTCAAGCAAGTAGTTGATCGAGTCTACTATAATCGAACCGGTTAGTAGTTCGAGTTCTTCAAACTCGAACCACTCCAAACTTAGGTATTTTGGGAATTTTTTTATAAATATGGTAGTTTAGGAATTTGTTTTACTTGTATGTGTATTTAGGGAATTATCCCTCTTTGTGATGGGTCGGGTCGACTGGTTTAATATGTTTGATTTTTTTTTTTTTTGACGTGGCTTATTGACTGGACGAATTCTATGATATTTCTGGCTTGTAGGATTAGAGGCTGGGGAGTGAGGGCTCTATCCTATGCAAAGAAGTTGTTGTTGATTACTTCTATCATATCTAGTATCACCTAGTACTGGATGAGCATTATCCACTTGCTTGTGAAGGTGATAAAGATGGTGGAAAGACCATGTTCCGATTTCTTGTGGAGTGCAGAGGAGGAGAGAAAGAAAGCAAAAATATAGTGGTCATCTCATTTGTTGCCTTACCAAAGAAAGAAGGAGGATTGGGGGTTTAGAGACCTAATAAGTTGGAATGTGGCCTGCCTCATACGTCATATGTGGGCTATTTACTCCAATTCATCATTTTTTTTTTGCTGC